TCCTGGATAGGAAACTTCCTCTACCAAATGCACATCAGGAACTATTATGTGAGATCAGAGATCCAGAACTGCTTTTGTTTTATAGACGAGGAAACTGAGGCACAGAGAGGTTAAGGGTCACACAGCCAGTAAGTGCCTGAGTCAGGATTTGAACTCATCTTCCTGCCTCTAAGTACAAGTCCCTATCTAGCACATCACACTGCCTCTCATAAAGCAACATTATGCAAAAATGTGTATTTTGGCTTCTTTCTGAAGCGAGCATTTCTTTTTAAACGTCAGAATTCAGGAGATGGCCTCTGTTCTTTTTTGACCACTCTCCCAACTTCTAAAAGCTTGTCTGACACCAACTGCAGAGTATAAGGTTTAGCACCCTAGTGACTAAAAAGAAAAAAGCCAACACCTGCTGGCAGACAAGTCCACATAGCCCAGCCTCCTCCACCACCTGAGCCAGTGTCAAAGGCACAGGAAAGGAATGTGCATGCATGGCCCCTTTTGCCTTTCTTCTGGCACTCTCTCTAACATCCTGAGCTGCTTTCCTTTTTATGTCCTTTCCAAGGGGGAGAGCCAGATATGAAAGCCCCCGGAATCCCCCTGGGACTCACTCCCAATACCTGCTGTAGAACAATACAGAGAGGAAAGGTAACCACGCAGGAGGCCGTGTGCTTTCAAGCTGAAACAGACCAGTCCAGGGAAGCCCTGAGTTCTATGTGCAACTTCAAGAAGCCGATCCCCTTACCTGGGGGGAACCACCCCCCTGGGCTGGGTGTGTCATCCTTCCTTTCACCATTTCTAGCAAAACCAGGGGTTCTTTCAAATCGATTCACAAATTGCCTTCAACCAAGTTGTTCTTTATTCCCAAGTCCCTAGCCTTCATTTCTTCTAAGTTTTCTCGGGGTGAGCAGCTTATCTCTTAAGCCTGCACTAACAAAGTACAGTGACACTTTGAGAAATGGGAGGGACCCTAGAATCCTAGACCTGGAGCCAGAAGGGACCTAGAGGCTATCCAATCCAACCCCTCATTTTACAGGGAAGAAAACTGAGGCACAGAGAAGTTACCATGATTACCCAAGGTCACAAGGGGAGTAAACAGCAGAGTCGGGATTTAAATTCAGGACTTCTGACTCCATGGTCTGTGGCCTTTCTACTGCACCTCAGCGCCTTTCTGTCTCTTAGAGACAAGTGACTCCAACTGCCCATTTTATAGATGAAGAAACAGGCCAAGAGCCCCGATGGACTCCCAGCATCACAGAACTCTTCAGCCAGACGAGGCATTTTCTAGGTCCTGCTCAACACTGCATTTCATTGGGAGACATTGAGTCAAGTTCCTAATTATAAACATTCCTGAGCATTTTGTGGAATGGGGGGGGCAGTCTTTCCATTTTATATACCACCTTCACCAAGTGGGCCGGGCCATGAACCTGACGTTTTATTTTTTGGGGGCGAGGCAATGGGGTGAAGTGACTTGCCCAGGGTCACACAGCTAGTGTCAAGAGTCTGAGGCCAGACTTGAACTCAGGGCTTCCTGAATCCAGGGCCGCGCTCCATCCACTGTGCCACCTGGCTGCCCCTAATCCTGACACTTCTAAAGCCACCCATTCCTACTTTCCAATGGGGAATGAGTGGGAGGTCTGGAATAAAGTGGCCCTTGAGTGACAAAAGGCATCCCCCTCCTCACAGCTTACTTCCCAGGCCTCAAGCACTAAGAGCCCAGAAAGGGTGGACGCTTAGCCCAAGGTCACCCAAGGGGGGGGCAGCTCTCAGAAAAGCATCTTATTCTTCAATACATTCTCTGACCCTGAGAAAAAGGCCTAAAGGAACATTAGTCCTCATGAATGGAGATTCCTTGGAGGCCTCCTCAAGGACCTGGGCTACACACAGTCAGCTCTGCCTCTGCTGTGGCAGCGGAAGGGGAGTCCCGGCTCGGGCCTGGCCCAGTTCCAAAGGGCTGGGCTTTGTTTGTCCTTCAGATCTGTCTTGAATTACTCAATGGAGCATCAGGAAGGAGCAGAAAGGAAGGGCGTCTTCTCGCTACGTGACGGTGTCTTGAAGTCTGTTTCTAAATGTGTGTTCCTGCGTTTATTCAGATTCTGACAAGTCTCCTGCTGAAATATCTGGCTGTGTCCAGCCTGGAGTGTGCCAATGTAAATACACACGTACATTTGTATTTGGAATAAGCATGTGCCTTTCTGAGACCACATTTTCTTAAGGGAAGATTACTCTGGAAAAAGGCCTCATCCTCTCTGATCTGGGGCTTGCAGGGACCCACCCTCCAGCTTCCAAAGGAAGGACAGACAAGAAAGAACATCCCTAGCTGTCCTCCCCTTTTCTAGACGAATGTTTTGCTCTTTGGCTCTCAAACTCCACCTTCGCAAAAATTCCATTGGGCACTACCTCTGCCTCGGGCCCTTTCTGATAAAACCATGATAAGACGACTCTTTCCCCAAAGAGAGAAAGACAAATGAGAATGGTCATAGCACGGTGAGAATTGTCCAGCGGGCCCAGGGAGCAGGGAGAGCTTGGGGAGAGAAGCAGTGAATTGATGCTCAGCTCTTAGACACTGGATTGAGAATGTCAGCACACGCCCTACTCTCGTGTTGAAATGAAATGGATTAAATGCTTCAGAGAAGATAATTCAATCTTTGTCAGGTGCATCAGTGGACAAGCAGGTCTATAAACGGACCAGTCCCGAGGCAAAGGAGAATGTGTAGGTTTCCCACATTTGGGGATCTCAACGTGGCATTTTCAGAAGTTTGGTCAACAACGTTCAGCTTTGAGCAAACGAAACATCAGCCTCCCCGAGCGAAGGCCATTGTCTCTCCCTCCCACCCCCCCCATCCCACTTCTTTGTAAGGGCTGTTTAAACATTTGTCTTTGTACATCCAGGCACCAGGCCTGGCATGTGATAGGTGCTTAATAAATGACCGGCTGGCTAACGTCCTTGATTTTTCCGGTCAGTGGCATATGAGGTTCTTTCCATCCATTTGGAGTCACAACTTCCTCCAACCTTGCTGCCCCTCTCTTCCCATCCTGAAATAATAACAAGTCCATAGGTTCCTTTTCTCACTAAGAGTCAAAGGGTTTCATGAGATATACCAAACCAACTTCCCAATGCAAGCCAGAGAGTTCTCTGAAATGCAAAACATTGGATTCTGGGTCAATCTGCGAAGCGAAACACAAAAGCTAAGACAGCCACGTGGCTCTTTGGGCCCAGCAGAGGCTTCACAGGAGACCATTAGTCACATCAGCAAAGATTAGCTCACTCTCTTCCTTGGTACCCCTCGCAGCATGCATGGTACCCAGCACAGAGCAGGTGTCGGATAAATGTTTGTGGATGGATTGATTCTCATCCTGGCTAAGAACCATGGCAAGAAAGCCTGAGTCTCACTACTGTTTCCAGCATTTAATTTCAAGGAAGGAGGAAGAGCTTTTGCAAGGGAAAGCTACCACCTAAGAGGCCCAACAGTCAAACACAAGCATGTTGGGTCAATGTCTGCTGGCTGGGCAGTGACTTATTCTGAACTCAAACGCCTGACAAAAATAGCTGGTCATTGATTTGTGAAAGTTGAATTCTAGGTGCCTACAGGTGGTCTTTGTCTCCTGCACCAGAGATCCGGTGATTTCTTGGTTTGCATTCTGACTGTTCATCACCCCAACCCCACACACTGGTTTCTCCCCAACACCTCCCCCCCCAGCACATTGGTTTTTCCCAACATTCTCCCTGCCCCCAAGCATATTGGTTTTTCCCAACATTCCCTGCCCCCAAGCATTTTGGTTTTTCCCAACACGCCCCTGCCCTCAAGCATATTGGTTTTTCCCAACATTCCCCCTGCCCCCAAGCACATTGGTTTTTCCCAACACTCCCCCCACAAGCACATTGGTTTTTCCCAACACTCACCTGCAAACTGCTGTTGAGTAAGTCAAAGTCGCTGTATCTTCTCACAATCTGCAGGGGACAAGACCATGATATTTTCAGTCAGCAGGTATCAACCATCTCTCTCCAAGTCCACAAGAAAATTAAGCTACTTGACAAACATTTGTTGAGCAACTACTATGGAACACTGTACTAGGCATCTTGGGGAACATTTTTCAATTATACAATTGATGAGGATCATCTAGCTCAACCATTTTACAGATGAGGAAACCGAGGGCCTGGAACAGTGAAGTCATTGCCCACAGGATGTCAGGGCCAAAAGAGGCTTTGAAGGCCATGCGAGGAAAGGTACCCTGGTCTGGAGGGCTGAAGCTACGGGTGAGGAGACATATAGACATGGCTGTGTGGTTCATCCATCCCACGTGACTGAATCAAGGCACTAGCAGATGAGGGGTCAAGTGACAGAGGCAGGCAAAGATCTGAGTCTGATCGGGGTGTTCGGAGGAGGCAGCCAGCACCGGGAGACTAGAACAGCCTGAGGAGTAGAACACAAGCCCCTCTACTGACTCTTCCTACAATACCCTGCTGCCTGTCATCTGACCAAGTGTTTCAGGCCAAAGGAACTCAGCTTACCAATGAAATTCTCACACTGTAGGCCCTTTCCATTTAAAAAGTGATAGGAAAAAAAATACTTTATTACTACTATACAGTTTAAGCTCTTTCAGCAAGTACATGCTGACCTGGGCTGTACATGTGACATGGAAAACCAGGAGTACAGTGGAGAGAGCCCTGGGCCTGAGTTCAAATCCAGCCTTACACTGTACACTTCCTAGCTGTATGAACCTGGGCAAGTCATTTCACCTGTTTGCCTCTGTTTCCTCACCTGTAAAATGGGATAATAATAATAACAACACCTACCTCTCACAGTTGTTGTGAACATGAAATGAGACAATATTTGTAAAATGTTTTACAAGCCTTACAATTCTCCAAAAGGTTAGCCCTGGTTATTATCATTATCATCATATAAATGACAATAATGGTGATAACCTCCAGACTAAGTGCATGAACAAGACCAGCACTGAGGGCTAAATTTCAAGTGTCCGGCCTTTCTCTCTGAACAAATGGCCGGCCACAGGGGTCACATGGCACCAGCGGTCCCTGCTCACTCTTTGGGATTTTCTGTAACTTCTTCAAAAACTCTGAATGAAGCATCTGTGCCCACAGTCTTGCAGGGGGCGGGGGCCTGTTTGTGAGTCTGCTGTGGTTTCTGTTCTTTTTTTTAGGCTGAACTGTGATATCGCAGAGATGGGAACTTCTGACGAGGAAAGAGGTTCTCCCAAAGCAGAGCAGGCGCTGGCCTGCACCTCACAGTCTTGGGGAGCTACATGGTCCCCAGGAACTGTTACCTGCCATGCTGAAACAAAATATCTCAACAAAAATGAGAGCCAGTGGGCTCAGGAGGACTGGAGTTCAGGTGACAAGACACCGCACAACACAGATCTGGGAGTCGCCCAAATGCATGGAGGTGACACTTAGAGTGTGAAAGTGGCTGAATCCTTCGAAGGAGAGGGAAGTAGAGGACTGAGGCCTGACGCTGGAGAGAGGCAGACAGGAAGGGGGAGGGGGAAAGAAGACCAGCAGTGAGACAAGAAACAACAGTCAGAGAGGCGGGAAGGGTAAAGGCTCCTCAGAGGCCACGGAATCCAAGCTTTCACGTTGGCACAGAGTGATTAAGGGTTTGGCCAAGGTCACACAGCTAGCATGTGGCTAAGGCAGGGCAGAATGCTCATTCCCATCTTCCTGACTCCAAATCCAGTGTTCTATCCACTGTACCACCTGGCTGCTGCCTTCCCTGCTGGAGCAGCATGGTGTCCCAAAGGCCCAAGAAGGAGAAGATATCAGGAAAGGGTGGTCAGCAGCGTCAAATGCAGCAGAGTTGGGCAAAAGCCACCAGACTGATCACTGCTAACCTTCAGGAGGGGAACATCAGTGACATGGGGAGAATGAAAGCTGGAGGGGGGGCTGGGTCAGAAATGGGGGGACAAGCACTGAGAGAGGGGACAAAAGGAGGAGAGATGGGACCTGGGAGGGACAACATGGTTTTGTTTTCAAACGGGTAAATGAAGGCAAGAAAAGCACTTTGTAAGCACCTGCTGAATGCTGGAAGACAGAAAGCGACACCCTCCTTGTGCTCGGGGAACTTCCATCTACTGGGGAGTGAGAACAGACCCTGGGGGGGTGTGGGCTCACAGGGAGGTGAGGAGAGGCACAGAGAGGAAAGTGAGCAAGGCGAACATGGCTCTAAGTAAACATTGCCTATGATTAAAAAACAAACAAATTTTACTACAACCCACAGTTGTCAGCTTCTCTTTTCTTTTAAGAAGTGGCTTCTCCTGCCCCCCACCCCTCCCTCATGCACAGATATTTCAGTCTCTGACAATTAGAAGAAAATCGCCTTTGATAACACTCTAGTTGGCAGCTTCTCTAGCACACGCTGCTTTGCAAAGTGCCCTCCCTGAGGCTGGGTGGCCTGACTCACTATCCCTACTTCACCTAGGGAAGCTAAGGCCCAGTCCCAGTTCACACAGCAGCAAAGGCAGGAGGAGGAAGCCCCAGCTAGCCTGACTCCCATCTGCTTCTTTCTACTCTGCCAAAAAAAAAAGGAAACAGTCTCTGGGAAGCCAGAAATGGCAAAGGCACTCTCTCTGTCTCTTCCTCCCTCCAACACTTTTCTTTCTCTTTCTCAGTCTCTCTCCTCTGCCTCTCTTTTTCTCCTTCTCAATCTCCCCCTCTCTTTTCTCTTCCTCAATCTCTCCTTCTCTCTCTTCTCCTCTGTTTCTCTGTCTCCCTCTCCTTCTCCTTCTCTCTCCTCTGTTTCTCTGTCTCCCTCTCTTCCTCTCTCTGTGTCTCTCTCCCCTCCCTCCTTCACTGTAGGCTCCTCTCTCACCACGATAGTGGAGGTGGGACCCAGCACACAGCCAAAACAGCCAATGGTTATGAGGGAGCAGAGAATCACAACAGACTGGAGGTAGCAGGAGCCTTGGATGGCAATGTTCCCAATTTAGGCCCAAGGAAACCTAAGCTCTCAGAAAAGATGATGAAAATCCAAGAGGAAGCCATGGACTTTGGAAAGAAATGGTGGCCACTCCTTAGGCCTTGCCCAACTAGAGGCTGCTGCTCTATGTGAACATCTATTATCTTTTCTCCATTTGAAAATCAAGTCCAACAGGCAGGCCTGAATGACTAAAAGAAAGGAAGCAACCTAGGGGAAAAGAGAAAAGAGAGCTCCCATTCTCTGCCCTTCAGTTCTAGAGGAGGAACTCCTGGATAATGATCTGTGTATTGGGTACAAATTCCACCAACCCGCCCCATCCTACTCCCCCCAAAAAAACCTAGGAACACAACTACACAGCTCCAACGCACGTCACCCCACCCCCCACCCCCCAGCCCTGGGAGGAAGTGCTATGTATCAATACTCAAGAGTTCACTGTTTGGAATTTTATCATGGTCCCCAAACCACAGTCAGTGGTTGGGTCTTTCCTCAAGTTGAAATATTTTTCAGTTATGAAAAAAATTACCTGCCAGCTGTTTTCTATGGAAATTCCTCTTTGCACACGAATGATATACTCCTGAAAAAGAACAGGAAAAAATCTTAATAAAAAAAAAATCACCCAAGTAACTGACTCACAATGAAACAAGCCCAGAAAAGCTCAAAGCTGAAATTGGGGGCAACAGGGAATAGGGAGGAAAGTGAGCCTTTTGCGGGCAACAAAGACATGTGTCTACCATGTCCAAGGTATTCTGATGCTTGTGTGTATCCTCCAATCAAATAAGAAAGACCAGAATTAAGAGACAAAACGATTTCTGACATTAACAGCACCGGTTTCGGGTGAAATTAACACAGAGTTCATGCTGATCTCATTGAATCCAAGAGGTTTAATTATCACTGCCATGGACATGATTCCCAAACCACCTTACCGCTTCCCCTACACCCCAGTCCGAGGGCCATTTCCACCCGAACATTCCATGGATACTGCAGATTCAACCCAACATGTCCAAGACTGAACTCACTGTCTTTTCCTCTAAAATTGCCCCCCTTCCCCTGCCATAAACTTCCTTTTTCTTTTCTGTCAAGAACACCATTGTCCTCACACCCAGCCAACTCCATGACCCAAGAATCCTTCTTGAAACTTCCCTTTCCCTCATCCGCCCTCCCCCATACCATCTAATCAGACACCAAGGCTCTTGTGTCTCCCTCACTCAGCAAAGCGCCATCTTCCACAACACAGAACACAGGTGCTCAATAAACACCTCCAGAACTGAACTGAGTGTTTCAAAGCGACTAGGAGTAATGCCCTATAATAGCATGCATTCAAGTCATTTGAAGAACACTAAAATTTCCATCTCAAAAACATCTCTTATTGGTATTTCAGCAACAGGAACAACAAATAATTGTAATGTTGCTCAGACACTTGTATCATTTTGACTTGCTTTTATTTCTGAGTAAGGAAAGGGCAGTCTAGTTCTGTGATGTACTCTTTGGGAGGAACTTCAGTGTGGAAGCCCCCTTTTAAAAAAAATTTTATTAATTTATTTTGATTTATCAACAATCACTTCCATATGCTTTTGAGTTGAAAATTTTCTCCCCCTTCCTCCCCCACACCCTCCCCAAGATGTCACACAATCTGATATAGGCTTTACATTTACATTCCTATTAAACATATTTTCACATTAGTGAAGTTGTAAGTAAAAATTAAAACCAATAGGAGGAACCATCAGAAAGATGAAACAAAACTCAACAGAAGGTAAAAATAAGTGATAGCGATTCAACTTCCATAGTTCTTTCTTTGGATGTGGACAGCATTTTCCATCCCGAGGCCTCTGGAGATGTCTTAGATCCTTTGGAAGCCCCTTTTTACCAATGTAGATCAGCAACTCCCTATCTTGGGAGAGCTGAGCTGCCAGAAGGAAGAGAGAAGGGAATGGGGAGAAAAAAAGAAAGTAGGAAGGAAAAAAGGAAGGGAAGGAGAGGAAGAAAAGAAAGTAGGAAGAAAGTAAATGAAGGAAGGGAGAGGGAGGAAGGGAGGAAGGAAAAAAGGGAGGGGGAGAGGACAGAAAAGAAAGTAGGAAGACAGGAAAAGAAGGGAGGGAGAGGAAGGAAAGGGAGGGAGGGAAGGAAGGGAAGAAGGGAAGGAAAGAGTAAAAGAAAAGGGAGGAAGGAGGGAAGGAAGAAGAGAAGGAGGGAAAGAAGGAAGGAAGGAAAAAAGGGAGGGAGGGGGAGGAAGAGAAAGTAGGAAGGAAGGAAAAGGGTGGGGGAAGGAAGGAAGGAGAGGAAAGAAAAGAAGGCAATAGGGAAGGAGAGAAGGAGGAAGGAGGGAAGGAAGGAGAGGAAGGAAAGAGGGAAGGAAGGAAAGATGAAAAAAGGGAAGGAAGGAAGGATTAATTCAGTGTCTACTACATGCCAGGCACTATGCTAAGTAAGCATTTTACAATTATCTCATTTAATCCTCATAACCCCGGGAGGTCAATAACATTATTGTCCCCATTTTACAGTTGAGGAAACAGAGGCAGGAAGAGATTAAGTGACCTGTCCAGGGTCACCCAGGTGGTATTTGTTAAAGTCAGGACTTGCAGTGGAACCTAGTTTTCTGGACTCTAAGCTGGTAGGCCCCACTACCTGCTCTGCTCCCCAGCCTTTCTCATGCTTTAAACTGAATTAAGGTATACAAAAGAGAATCAGGAGCTTGGTAGGTAGCATTTCCTTCCCAGGTCCATCTCCGTCTCCTTTACTCATCTGGCAAATTCAATAGCGAGCAGAGACCTTCTCGGCCATCCAGTCGCCTCACCATACAGAGCCCAGTGGCATTTTCCTTTATTACACAAGCTGTAACTCACCTGGGAGATAGTTTCATTTGAGGTTGGATGGTGATACTACAGAGCAGAGCAGAGTGTGATGGGAAAACTCCACAAATTCAATTCAAGCATTGATTAAGCACCTACTGAGAGCAATGCTATGGTCTAGGTGACAGAGTCTGAAAGAGGCCTTGGTTCCTCATCTGTAAAGTGAGGTTGGACTTAATGATCTCTATGGTTCCTTTCAGATCTACACCTAGAATTGCATGACAGGAGTCAGTTATAGACCCTTCCCTCAAGGAGCTTATAATCTACTAGGGTAAATGGGCAGGGAACTGTTATACAAGATATATAAGCACACTGTTGTTTTTGTTGTTGTTCAGTTGTTTCAGTCCTGTCCAACTCTCCATGACCCCATTTCTTTCTCCAACTCATTTTACAGATGAGGAACTGAGGCCAACAGGGTTAAATGACTTGCCCAGGGTCACACAGCTAGGAAGCATCTGGGGCTGGATCTGAACCCAACTTCTCCTAACTCCAGGGCAAGTGCCACTTGACTGTCCCATAAAAACCCATGGGAGAGGTCTAAATAGAATGGAACGAGGTAATCAAGGAGGGGGACCTTCAAGACACTCAGCTTGGAAGCCAACGTTCTTCACCCAGAGACTCTGAAGGTGATTAGTCCTCTGCTGCGGAACGGCCCCTTCTGGGGATGATTCTGACAGGTCTGTACATTTCTCACGGCATAAGACTGGAGATCTGTGGTTTACTTATTAATAATAAGGACTCCCTAATAACATCAGCTCAGGGTCCCAGAGAATTGTCTGGGGCACTCTCTTGGCCAGGGGGCAATGGCCAGTAGGGTCGGGGTGGGGGGCAGGACCTGAAAGCAGATCTTCCAGGCTCTAGGGCCTTCTCTCCACCGCAGCCTGATACTGACAATTTCATGGAAACCGGCCCATCTCTGTTTTCTTGATCTCTGACACGGGAAACAATGTTCCTGCTCACAAGCACTTCTAGCATTCCAGACTTCCCAAGAGTTACAAAAAGGGCCGATTATTGTTACATAAAGTGGCCTGGCCAGGGCTCCCAGGAGCTGGGTCCTAAGTACAGAGGGACAGCCGCTTGTCTAACAACATAGATAACCCAGAGCCGGCCAGGGAGTGTTAGGCAGGCATAGCACTCAGTGTGGGCTGGGCCATTGGGGCAGAGAGGACTTTACTCTGGCTACAAAATAACCCAAGGCCAAGTGCCTGAGAAGTGGTGCTGCTCCAAAGATATGGAGCCATCCTTCCTAGGACACACTGTGAAATCTGTACTAGGTGTGGGCCAGTCCCAGGAGCTGGCAGGACCCCCAAGTCCCACCTCTGACACTGGGCAAGTCACTTCAACTCTTGAGGGCTCCAGGCAACTCCCTCTGAGCAGTCTTGGCAGAACAGTGGCCAAGCTACATCTGGTACAGGCAGTTCTCTAAGAGCTCCCTGCCCCCATGAATCACAGATTCTGACCAAAAGAAAACTGGGTGCGGCATACATACCTGGAAGAATTTCAGAGAGGAGGAAGGAAGCTCATTTAGTGTCACTGTACCCAATCAGTAATTATTAATTATTAGCCCAATCTCAACAGTACAACCAATACTATCAATAGCATTAATAAGCAATAATGAATTATTAGACGAATTATTAATTGGCTTATCAGCCTACTGTGTGCTAGGCAGTGCATGAGGTACAGGGCATGCAAGGACAAAGAGCGAAACTCAAACATTTGATTCTTTGACCTACACATTAGAAGCACAAAGAGAGTATGGATTTAGACCAGGAAGAAACCTTAGAAGTGGGCGAATCCAAATCTTTTGGTTTTACAGATGAGGAAACTAAGGCCCAGAGTGGGGAGGTTAACTCCCTAACCTCAATGCTAAATATCAGAATTCCGACAGCCCAATACTGGGGACAGGGTTCAAAGGCTTGGGTTCAAATCCTGCCTCAGCCATTTGCTACCTGTGTGGCAAAGGACAAGTTACTTAACCTTTCTCAGCCTCAAATGTCTCCAAATCTGTAAAATGGAAATAATGATACCAGCAAATACCCATCTCCTAGGGTGGGCTGGTGTGAGGTTCCCAAGAGATAATCTAAGTAGCACTTACATAAGTATCAGTTTCTTCTCATAGTTAACTCATTTCCATCTTTTCCCATGGTTTCCAGGTAGATCAAGCCCTGGGACAACTCACTGTCCCGCTACTACTCGATTATATCGAAGGTTTTGTGGCTGCTACCCAGCTGGGTGAAAATAGCTGCTTTCTGTATTCAAATAAAAGTACTAGGACATTCACTGATCCCCTGTAGGGACACTGAAAGCATCTTCGAACTTCTGGTATATAATTATGGCTAAATATTACTGTGCTCTAAGAAACAATGAGCAAGAATCCTCTTGTAACTTCAGTAACAATAACATAGTTACATAATAATAACATAACCCTAAGGTTATATGAGAGCTCAGCTAGGACCCTCATTTGGAAGAAAGAGGAGAATGTAAAATACTTTAAAACTTTATAACATGCTTTTGGCGGGCAGCTAGACACACTGCAGTGCATAGAGCACCAGGCCTGGAGTCAGGAAGACTCATCTTTTTGAGTTCAGATCTGACCCCTGATATTTACTAGCTGTGTGACCCTGGGCAACTCACATAACTCTGTTTGCCTCAGTTTTCCCATCTGTAAAATGAACTGGAAAAGGAAATGGCAAACCAGTCCACTACTTTCGCCAAGAAAATCCCAAAT